TTGCTTTCAAGTGTGACACCCGAGTACTTCACATGGCTGACCGTGCTCATCGGCCTTCCATGAATCTGTATGTTGTCGGAGGGAGACAGGCCACGGTTTAAAGTAAAAATACATTCATGGCATTTTTCAGGATTGAGACCCGAAGAAGTGGGATATGAAACGAGGTGGAATAGGTTTGTGTTATATTCAGCCAGTTCTGATTGGTTAGATACGGAAACAGAAATGGCGATATCATCAGCATACTTAAAATGTTGGTTGTCCCAGTTAGCGTTTGTATGGCCGCGGCACCCCTCCCTGAAAGTCGACCATACATTTGTGTATAGTCAATAAAAAAGGAAGTAAAGCACATCTATAATTTTATAAGATATAGCAGGAAATCCGAGCAATAATGAACCCAAACAATCAGAAAGGGTTGATGCGTCGAACCATGAACCGTGACATTTTACTCCCCCGGGTTTCAGCTCACGCGTGGATTTATGTGATCGATGATCGCTAACAAACTGTACAACGTTTAAAAACCTATTTTGGAGGCGAGCAGAGTAGTATTGATCTAAACCTTCAGATCCGCCGTTTGAAAACTGATTAAAATTCCCCAACGTGTTTCGCACCTCTGTTCACAAGTAACAACCATGAGTTGAATGAGTGTTTCATGTCATTACTTTCGGCTGATCACTCGTCAGAATTCAAATCGCCACCTCATTTCGTCTCGTCCCTATTTGATCTATTCGACCATTGCAGCGAGAAACCACTAGATTCGGGCTCTGTTATTATCTGGTCACGTGACCAGTGCATATCCATCGGCGCGTCCGAGCTTGGCACTGCGAAACACTCCTCCAACCGACGTACACCGGGACTGAGCAGAAGTATCAGTTGATGCATGTTTCAGCTCAGGCCAAGCAATTTATGAGGTCAATTAAGAATGCTAGAAGGCATTAAATACGTTCCCTTCCTGTTTCAGACCAGAGCTCTTCACTTTGACCGTTTCTTTTCACTTCCTTTTGTGAGATACACAATAATACAATTTTCACGAGAGAAGGGGAAGTGGCCAATCAAACGCGGCTGCCATTCAACACACACACAGAGCATGGGGAAAGTCAGGCGGTAGTGGTGGTTGGATTTGAACACATATCCTCCCGGGGGTGATAATTTGTTAACGTTACAACCGAGCCACCACCGCCCAAACACTGCCAATGATGCCCGATGAGAGAAATCAGTTTGGGAATGTTTGTTCAGACTGAAGTTAGTTAGCAATTGTAAATTTATGGCTTGATTAGTGCTGTTTCCTTTACATTGATCGGAACTGTTTGGACGCACGGGATTCCGTAACCTCGACAGGATCGAAAACGGTGTGATTGCCAGTTCTCACGTCCAGATAGACAAGCCCACCTACACACGGATGAGTTAGATCGATGAAAACCTATTCGGTTTTAGGGTGTAGTTTGTGCTGGTGTTTCCGTTCCATCTTTTTCTCTCACTCTCTCAGATTCAAAACATCCCGGGGAAAATAAGAATGAAAGCGAAAAATTGCAGGTAACTAATAATATAGTTTCAAGTGTGGGTAATGAAGGATTTGGTTTAACTTCAAATGTGAATTCGTCGTGTATGAAACAAATGAAGCGTGAACTGAAAAGCTAGGAAACACTACTGGATAGCTATTTCGACCTGGTTAGGTCTCATCAGTGCAGTGTGAATCTATCGGCCTAATTGGGTGGGGATCGAACCCGGGACCTGACAGACAGAACGTAAGCGTGCTACCCACTCGGGGCAGCTGATCAGACCGTTTTTCATTTTTCATCTACACGATATAGCGCAACCCATCTATGCGAGCGTGTTGCACGCCACAGACCTCGCTCATTTCAGTATTAGCCTCCGGGGTTATGACTCGGTTGAAAACTTTCACAATATAGTAGCATTTGATGAATATTCACCTGGATTAGTTTGAATTATTGTCACAATGCCGCGAGTGCGTCCAGTTCCACTTGTAATCGATCGTTTTTGTTTGCTTCAACTATTCGTTTGGCGGCGGTGACGACGGTGGTGATGAAGGAGTTAGATGTGACCCGGAGGTCCCGGGATCGAACCGCACCACCCCCGCTACCCGCTTCCTAAAAGTTGACCGTACATTTGTATAGTTGAGTAAATAAAAAAAGGAAGTAAAAGGACATTTAAATTTGTTTCATTTCTTTCCCATGTGTGTACTGTTTCACAATTTTTGGGAAACATTCGTGTGTACGCGCATGTCCCGACAAGAAAATTCTCGCAACCCAGATGGGAAACATTCAAAGGATGCTTTGCCAAACGTTATAGTATCGTAATTGAAAATTTCTGTCCATCTGTACAGATAGGCATTGTTGTATATAATCGTCAAATCCCTTAAAATATCCACTGTGAAATGAATGTAATCATTTTGTTTACCTGCATTTTCCTCCCCGCTTCGGCTACTGTTTTCCCCTGTCGCCACGCTCCGCCCTCACCCCCTACTCGTCTCCCGCAAACAGATTTTACCATCTTCGACCACATACCAACGAAATTTGACCAAAATACACACATGGGTCTCGGAACATGAGACGTTCTCCGGTGTGGAATGGTTACAGGCGCTAAACGATCAACATGTGAGCAAGATTTTACCAGTCACCCTTTCTATTTGGATATGTTCAGCTCTGTGTGGATTTCACGGAATCGAGCCAATTTCTGATTGTAGACCAGTTGTAGGCCAAATGTTTTTTTTTTGAGAGAGAAACAGGCTTTTCGGTGACCGATGCCGTTTCAATGAACTGTGGGCATTAGAACGCCAAGGTTGCACTTTAGCTAACAAAACACTTTGCGTACAAAAACCGATGGAGCCACTACCCCCATACGATACATGTCCACCATGCTGCACCACAGCCTCTCTCTCTCACCTACAAAAGGGCAGTATGATCAATATCAACGGTATTTCGACTGATTCCTTTCGATCACTCGACAGATTACATGTATTCTTTTTTTAAATTTGGCATACACATTAACCGATGGCTGTGGTCACGTGATATGATTATCAGTTTGTGGGTGATAGTGACCAGTCAACCATGACCCACCATGATCACATGGTGATGACATCTGGGCAGACAGATATATAAAATCAAGATTGAATGCGCTGTCCTTCTAGCAATGAGGTGTAAAGACTGAATTGGGGTTTGATTGTTTGTATTTCATTTTGCGTATTGCGCATTCTTTTCACCTCAAATTGTCGATCAATTTCATCCCAGGAGACTATTGGTAGTGACATGGTTTTTCTTGTTGTGAAGATGGACTGTGTCAACACAGCATTTACTCTGTCAACTGCGCTATACGATCACCTGGTCAATTACAGTTCTAGTCAGCAGGTTACATGCTCACTACTTTTGTAAATGGTATGATAACCAAAATAACCAGTGGGGGAGGAATGGTCTTGTAGCTCAGTTGGGTTGTCCATAC